ATAACTGTTACTTTGTACATTAAATCCCAATGCATATACAGTGTACACCAACATGTGTTACATTGGTATCCCTGGAGTGCCCAAAATAACTAACCTTTAAATTGCATGGCAATTAATTTTTGTGCATTAAAACACAAGACAGTCAACAACATAAATTAGAATGGGGTTAAAGTTAGTAACTGTAAAACAGAGATAAGATAACATCATCACAAAGTAAAACAAGGACTGGAGGGACGAGGAGTACAATCTTCATTGACTGCAAGGTAAGGCTGTGCCTTTTAGCACACTTCGAAGCGTCACAACCTTAGCTGGTCATCTTAAGCTTCGCGAAAGAATGACTATAGTTCATAATACACTACAACTATATATATGTATGTGTGTATCTCTCATATTATATATATATATATATATATATATATATATATATATATATATATATATATATATATATATATATATATATAATATATGTAATATAATATATATATAATATATGTAATATAATATATATGTAATATATATATATAATACATATAATATATATATATATATATATATATATATATATATATATATATATATATATATATATATATATATATATATATATATATATATATATATATATATATAATACAGTATATATATATAATATATATATATATATATATACACATACATACATACATAAAATACACACACACACTCTCATATAGATAGTAAAAATATTGTAATCACAAAATTTTATTCCTCAAATTAAGGTGGTGTAAGTTTCTCCACTGACTGGGATGCAAGTTAAAATTGGCTTTCTCACACTACCTCCAGGTTAGTCCACATTCGTTTCTGGAGCTGCAAGATTAAACCCTACTCTTCATTTTGTTGACTTGGGGTTAGTGGGCTTATATTTAATATTGCTATGAATACTAGATAATATCCTATGCAATACATATTTTAAAAATCTAGAGATCACAAACCTCTTTGAAGGTTTGACTTTATAATGCCATAACTATCTGTATGTTAGCTACTTTGGGAAGTAAGTAATACAACTAATGTACATTAAAATTATAATTTTCTACAAGGTTCTCTTGGAAAACTGCACATAGCCATGCTTATGACTGTAATTTGTGACCTTCATAAAGTTTTGTTAAAATGAGGGATTGGGTAAAATGTTCATGGTTTTGTACCATAGTGTGGTAAAAAAAACTAGCGTTGAATGTAATAAAATGTCAATTTCTGGATGATCCCCAGAGGCTCTCTAAAGCTATCATACACTAATCAGTGCCATACTATCAGGTGTCATCAGTTGCAGGAGGTTTATTGGCCTACTGGGGACCCTTAACTATAGGCCATTGCACACTGCAAGGAGGTGCAGGATGCAATGGCCTATGATCATTTTACATTTAAAGTTTAACATAATTGCCACCACCAGGAAACACGCAGAAAGGTAGGCAAATCAAAACAAACTTCTGCAAGGTTTAAGGAGAGAGACCGCTGCCTCAGCCTCAAAGTCGCCAAAAGAACTCCCCGAACAAAAATTAAACCACCAAATTTTCTTTTAACTAGCATTTGCTAGTTGGCCCCAGAGGAGGCAGGATTGACCAGCTCTACAGCAGGCTGCAAAACAAGACCCAAAAAGCCCACGAATCTTGGGCCAAGAGCTGACAAACTGGGCAAGCTTTCCCCCCCAATGCCCTGTGAATGGGGCGACCTGCAAAAGAGCTGGCACAAACCACGAGAGCTCACCCTTCGAGCAGAGCGATCAAAGCACTGACCAGACAAAGAGGCTGAAGCTGAAAGAACTGCGGCCAACCCAGCCATCGGCACTACAGAGGGCCCTCCCCAACCAACAGCAGGCGAAGCCCTGGCTCTTCCAAACCCCCAGGACACCTTCCCACCCGAGACACTCAACAATGCTGAAACAGGATGACAATTAGCCACTGCTGTACATAAAAACTGGGACATCATGTCCTCAGGAAACAAGGAAGAACTAAATGGTGAAAGCAAACTAAGAACCAGGGCCCACACCGAGTCCAAAGACTGTCAGCACAGCCTGACGACACGCAAGACGAGAGGTGAAGAACATGAAAACTGCCTCCCAGAGGATTGGAGCATACAGCTTCAGGTGGCCAGTCGAAACTAAAGGCACCTAGATCATAACCCTCGCAAAAGGAACATCACTGAGTACTTCCACATCCTCCGAGAGCCAATTGGAATGGAGCTCAAGGAGGCTCAAAAATATGCACAACAGATACCAAGTGCAAATGAGTACACAGATTTTCACCGAACAAAGCAGTCAACAGAAGAGGAACCTAAGCATGCAGCTGCTCAAGACCCACATCACAGAGAAAGCCAGGAGTGAAAAGGCATTCACTGAGAGGCTCAAGAGAACCCCTCAGAAACACCTACAACACAGTAGACACCTCTTGCCAATCAAGCAGGAGGGAATGGCAAAACCTGTGCCAAGAAAACAAAGGACAGTCTACCAACCATGATGACACCAGAACCTCATAATGCACCCAAAAACGAGAGGAAGACATGAACTTAAAAAGAGTCCGGATTCATAACCGAGGCATAAACGGGGTCATGCAGGAGGTAAGCACCGAGGGCCTCCCAAGCCACTGCCGGGGAAAACCCTGGAGGAAGGAAGCCCCCTAGAATGATGAATCCAAGGGAATCAAAGGAACTCTGAAACAAACTCTGGGAAACCCCACCCAAATCAAACTCAGACAGGGAAGGGGGATAAAAAAAAACTCACCTTGCAACAAAAGACCCTGCTCAGAAGGCACAAGAGCCCACAAAAGGTCAAACAGAACCCAAGAGCTCCAATACGATTGCTCCCGAGCACCAGTAACTGCAGCAGAAGGCCCCGGGGCAGAGCTTTTATCCATGCCCACCATCCGTGATGGAAAAGTGTAGTCCAGGGAAAAAGCTTCGAAAGCAGGGTTTGGCCCAGAAGCCTCTGCGGGATTTAGATGCTCAACTGCCTCCATGCCTGTGTCACAAAAAGCCAAACCCAGAACCACCCAAGCCACATTCCGAGCTAAACCCTGGCCTGAAACCGAAGCCTTCAGACACCTAGGAGCCGGAACTAGGGAAGGAGGAGAAGAGCACCATTGGCCCACCGGGAAAGGAAGAGAAGGTGAAGAAGGAACCAAGGTCGAGTTGGCCAACACCCCTAAATCCAAGTCCCTAAATGGATCAGGGTAGATCCGAGGCATCCAACAGAGCACACAACCTATACCATTGTAAAACTGAAAACCAAGAATATAAAGCAGTTGCTGCCTGAAACCTCTGAACTTCAACAGTGGAATGAGTGAGCTGGAGCACATGAGGCAAACAAGTCTCGCATGACTCTGGGGTCATACGTGTCACTGACCCAACAGGCAGCATGGTGGAGGCAGAAAGGAATGTCAGCAGGTGGCACAGGTGACAAAAACCCTCGAATTCACACAAAGTGGATTCGGAAGAGGAATCCATAAGTCAACCGAGCCCATAGAGGATTTCCATGGCCCATAGGGTATGTGCCCTGCAGGAAGTCCAGCAACTGAGAATGCTATGCCAATAGAAACTTTGCAGAAAGCAAGCAACCTAGTTACCCGAATCCAACGGAAAAGTCACAGGGGCAACAAGGGGGTTCAGCCACACACACTCTAGGCAGACCTAGTAAGTTAAAATACTGAAACCCCAAGCAGAAAACGAGGCAAAAATTAACAAAAACAAAACACAGGGATGCCTGTGTATAACTTAATTAACAAAAAGTAAGGACGCCCCTTAAAGGGTGCGTATCTCGAACGCCCCAGGGAAGTGAACCCTGATTGTGCAAGGGCAGCACTATAGAATGCACAGGGAAGAGAAACCTGAACACATGCAGCTCTAAGTACACTATAGTCCTGGCTCATGTACAACACTCATGTAAAACTAGCCACAAAAGAAACAACAAAACATACAAATGGGAGACTGGAACCAGAGGTGACGTGGCAACCGTGGCACGCATCAGTAAGAACTGAGGTGTGAGTGAGCCAGCTGACCTGGTATGCCTCCCTGTTCCATCCAAATGCGGGGGAAGGGGGTGACGGGACAAACTACCAGATGTTAGTTTCAAGAAAATTTGGTGGCTTAATTTTTGTTAGGAGAGTTCTTTTGGCAGTTTTGAGACTGAGGTCTCTCTCCTTAAAACATGCAGATGTTTGTTTTGGTTCACCTACCTTTCTGGGTGATTTCCTGGTGGTGGCAATTATGTTAAACTTTAAATGTAAAGTTTTCATAGGCCATTGCTCTTTGCACCTCCTTGAGGGGACCAGGTTTTGGCTCTGGGTCCCCAGTAAGTCAATAAAAACTCCTGTGACTGATGGCACCTGATAGTATGGCATTTAATCAGTGATGATAGTTTCAGGGAGCAGATGTGGCTCCCCCCCAAAAAAATATATCAAACTTCATAATACATACTAATATACAAACCTAATTATAGAAACATCAGCAGCTGCATCTAGAGATTTAGGATTATTTCTAAAATTATACACATTCAGAATCATAGATATTTTGAATTTGAATTATTAATAATTTTGTGTTTTTATTTGTAGACAAAGGAATTAATTTACCAGTGCTATTTAAAATCATTCATACAAAATATATATTTCACAATACTGTATAGAAATAATATATATGAGAGCTGAATAAAGACTAACATGTAAATCTGTTTGAAGTGCAATTAAAGGTTTGCTAAATTATGGTTGCAACACTCTTGAAGAGAGAAATACAGTATATACAAAGCTTAAAATAGGCTTTATTTACTATGTGCATATACAGAAATGAGCCAAAAGATTGGCTATGCTGCATAATCAGTGACAGACAATTACAAATAACACCAAAAATTAAGGAACTTAGCAGGTTGAAAAAATATTATTACATAATATGTGCAGCAAAATAACGGCCATAAAAAAAACTGTTCCAAGTCGGGCTGGCAAAAATGTAGCACTTTTGAAAACTGGAAATGGACATACTCCCTCTTGCTGCAGTCCACGGAGTGCAGGGGCAGGCTTAGCTAATCCTGTCTCTCTATCACAACCAACTTCCTGAAATATTGCCACTTTCTTCACTCTAACCTATGAGTGACTCCCCTAAAAATATCATTAAATGAACTTATACAATATATAATATAAATAAAAGTAGGATTTTTCATATCTTGTTAGTGGAAGTCAGTTCTCATTATTTATTTATATTCATTATCTGAAACTGAATGCTTGCCCTCTCCTGGATCTGAGGGGCTTCAGTACTGGGAAAGCAACCATGAGTAGTGCATGCACCAACAGCTCTCAGTACTGTACTGCCATGCAGCTCATGCCTACAGCATCACTTAATATTGTTGTAATAAATAAATGTGATTATTTGATGATAATAGTGTCATAGAAAATTCTGACTGCGATAAAAACTATGTATGTACAAGGTTCAGATATCAATGAACCCAATGCTGTTTATGATGTTCACAGTGCTAGGCAGGAAGCCACATCACTCTGCCAATGTTTGATCCATATAAGCATCATGAAACAACAGCTAATGTTCCTTTACAAAATAAACTTATGAAAAGTTATTCATTTACAGAACTTATTGACCAGGATTACGATAATAGCAGAATTGTGGTGAGAATTAGTGATGTGCACAGTATGTTGGGAGGAGGATTCTTGCTGTGTGAGGTGATGTCATCTGCTAGCTTGAGTTTGGTGGTGCTATGCTGTTTGGACATACCATACCAGCTTAGTGGTTCCTTATAGTGAACAAAAATGTAGACACATTATATATAAGATGTGTGTATATAGAGTATAGTGTAATAACAAAAAACCAGTGTTGAATGTAATGAAACACCAGTTTCTGGGTGAGCCCTGGAGGCTCCCTGAAACTATCTTACTGATCAAGTGCCATACTACAGTACTTAAGTTTCATCAGTTGCAGAGTTCTTTGTATGCCTACCTGGAACCATGAGCCAGAACCTGGCCCCCCTCAAAGAGGCGCAGAGAGCAGTGGCCCATGAACACTTGTACTTGTAGATTCGTAAACCTCATCCTGGAAACATTCATGTTTCAACATGTTAAACAAGATACGAGGATGAGGGAAGGGGATGTTCAAAGACATGGTCACTTTTACCCAAGGGAGGGAGGTACTAAATGTCAAATATCTCTTCCTCTTTCCTGGTAAATATCAAATCCAGCATTGGTGGAGCTATGCTGTTTAGACATACCATACCAGCTTAGTGGTTCATTTATTGCACAAACATGTAGATACTGATATATATAGTGTATATGCAATGTAATAACCACAAAAACAGTTTTATTATCTACGAATATAATAACTATACTGTATCACTAATATGCACACAATATTTTTGAGTATACCAATGGTCTACACAGTGTATTATATAAATTTATCAAATTACACACTATTGTTATCAGACTCCTGATAAGAATAGCATTATAGTGCTAGCATTAGCGCTGTACATAGTATATTACATAGCATATCCCTGTTACAACACCAGGAAAATGTGCTAACAGGGTGCCACAGGGGTCCATTTTGGGGCCAGCCCTTTTTGTCATATACATCAATGACATAGATGAGAATATTACAAACCACATCATCAAATTTGCAGATGACACTAAGATCTATTGTAAAGTGGGAAGTGAAAGTGATATTGAGACCCTACAAAGAGGTCTAAATGAGCTCCACAAATGGTCAGATGACTGGCAAATGATTTTTAATGTCGATAAATACAAGACCTTGCATGTGGAGCATAACGATCCATGTCACAACTACCAAATTGACAGCACTACCTTTTAACAGTTATATAAACAAAAGGACCTTGGAGTCAGAATCCATCATTCACTAAAAGTTGAACAACAAGTGGGAATGGCAGTAAAAAAAAAGCAAACCAAATCCTGGGAATAATCAAGCATACCTTTACCTTTAACTACTGTGATGCACTGAGTTTATTGTGAAATTCCCCCTATGCGCATGAAATCAAGTGTTCCCAAAAAATTATTTTTTCTTTGTAAAATGATAAATTCCCTTCCCTGAACATGTCTATGTAAAAATAAATACCAAAGTTCACTTACTTTGGCTGTGGGGACGTGGACAAGGTGTGCTGTGATGTCATCAGGGACTGGTCGCCCATGCGTGAAGCTACCAGACACAGTCGCGTGGGCCATTCAAGCACCACGAGTTGCCACGAATATATTTTCAATTATTTGTTCTATGTATTTCCAACGCGGTTTTATTTGTTTTTAATCGTATATAATGGATCTTTGTGTCCTTTACAATATTTAGGCAGTATAACGTTCATAATGATTCATGGAACTGTGATACATGTGTCAGTAATGTGTCCACAATAAATGTTTGTCCCAATATTATTTGTTAAAAATTCACTAAAATTGCAATATGTACAGTTTCACACACTATTTACACAGTAATACACTGTATTACACACTCAGTACTTCGGAAGTGAGTAATAATCAATGAAGTAGTCCATGGTACACCGCACGACTTCACACTCATTGCACCAGGTACAGATAGATTTTTGCTTCCTGTTTGTTAGTTCTATGTGCTTGCAAATAACGCACTCATGTACACCCTTGGCTTTAGTACTTGTAGGTGGTATGTAGCCAAGCTTGTAAAGCATAAGGTAGTATTGAAAAGATTATAGGAAAAGATAAATTTGTAAGGTAGTCTTGAAACGATCGCTCGGTAAGGTCCTACAGAGGAAGAGATTCAGCTAGCCTCAAAGAGTGTCCGTCAGTCGGGAAGTGATTCAGCTAGCCTCAAAGAGTGTCCATAAGTCAGGAAGAGATTCAGCTAGCCTCAAAGAGTGTTCGTCAGTCTGGAAGAGATTCAGCTATTCTTGAAAATATGTATGGAAAACCACACCACCATGGAAGCCGCTAACACTGTTCATCTATGCTACTTTTACCAGATGCATCATTACTGAAAGCAGAAAATGATTCATCTATGTATTATCTATATAAATTGGAGATGGCATAGGTGGGCGAGGGTGGCGCTCAGAGCTACAACTGGATACGCTTGCTGTATCATCCTCATAGGCGCTGTATCACTTGCATCCGACCTTTGTGTTAGGTCCTTATTGCGCCTAGCTTCACAAATATCATGACCGTTGTGTTCTTCAAGCATTAAGGTTTGAATTTTATCATCAGAGCGCGATCTTTCAATACCGAGTCAGACAGGTATTTGGGAGCCAGAGGAGTGTGCACCACCCATGGTTGCTCACTCCGTACTAACCCAGCCAGCAGCCCTAGGGCATTCTGGGAATTTTTTCCAAGATGGCTGCCTCTCATTGGAGGTCCTAAAAATTCATTTCATACACAACCAACAGCGCACACATTTTGAATGGGTACGAAAAAATAAAGATTTTTCTCGGTTGGCGCAGTCCAGTGGTTAAATGTAAATTGTTTACGAGCTATTGCTCCCTGTGCCTCTGTGAGGGGGCCAGGTTTCAGCTGATGGTCTTCGGTAGGCATACAAGAACTTTTGCAACTTATGACTCCAAGTAGTGTGGCACTTAATCAGTAAGTTATCTTCAGGAATTCTCCGGGGCTCGCCCAGAAACTGTCATTTTATTACATTCAACATTTTTTTTTTTTTTTTTAAGAAATTTGTATTTGTTATAATATTAGGTAATATTTATTTAGTTATTACTATAATGACTTGGTTTAACATAATTCTTGGTTATTCTATACAATATAAATCATACACTCCACATGCCCCTCATCCTCCAGACAGTCCCTCCCGACTCACACAACACCCAATACCCTGAAACAACCCACCCCAGTACCTCTGGTACTCTGCGCCTCAAGCCACTGCTGTACAGGATTAATATGGTATGGTCCAATGCCTGTCTGCAGTAAAACAAAACCTCTGGTTTTCTGGATTTCTGTCCGGATATGGTGAAGTTTGGCAGAAAGTTATTCGAACTTCATTTAGAACCTATCAGGAATGTACGACCAAGCCAAACCTCCATTATCCAAATTTCTATCAGGATATCATGAAGCTTTGCCAGAAAAATATACTGTATGGCCATGATTTTTACCAGATAACCTAAATATTAGGATAAGTGGACTTCAGATAAGCTGGCTCATACAGTAGTCGCTCTCCAAACGTTAAAACTTATGCTGTACTTTAAATTATCCCTGATTGACTCGCATAGTGCAGTAAAAAGTGGCGCTGACTGACTCGCCCATCGGAAGGGTTAATGTCCCTGGTCCCAGTCAGTTATGAGTTACCTTAGGCCATGTATCCCAGCTTGAATTCTCATCTTAGTCTTAGTGTATGCCTCCTCTCCTCCCTGGTAAGTCCTGTGATTGTTCTCTGTGGGGTAGTTAGCTTCAGGGAGCCACAGTGGGCGTTCCCTGGATACCTAGCATGGAATGTAACAAAACACCTCTTCCTGGACGAGCCCCTATGGGTCCCTCACTCCCTATAAGGTTAGTTAGTTCTTCGGCGTACAGTTCTTCCACTCCAGAACTGGCTAGCAATATGGATGCATCCAGAAGCTAGGCCATCTAAAGGTGAAATTCGGTACAATGACTCATGCTAATTTTGAATGTTTCACTTGTTCTGCATGAATCTTTTGCAGAGTTGTTTGGCATTTTCAAGGTTTTGGTCTTTGTTAATCCTCTAGTTGTCTTTAAAGCTTCATTGACATTCTGGATGCTTTCCCAGTATGGTGGGAAATTGTCACTTGCTCTCCACACCTCTCTGAGGGGCCAGGTTTTGGCTCTGGTCCCCAGTAGGCCAAACAGAACACCTGCATCTGATGTAACTTATCTGCATGGAGCAATCTCTGATCGATAGCTTTAGGGAGTCACTGGGGCTCATCCAGAAAGAGGTGTTTCATTACATGCAATGTTAGAATATTTTTGTTCACTCATTCTAATTTTGCTCAAGTTCTGAGTCTGTCTCACTCTTGCCATACTTCAGATGCTACTTGTGTTGCAAAGATGCTACTTTTCCATAAATAATTTACATCTTGATATCTTGCATTCAGTGCATTTACTTTATACTTTCCATCTTATTT